GTTAAGACTTGTACATGATCACGATAAGTCAAATGAGAATCCAAGGTAATTCCAAGATATTTGTAGGTAGTGACTTTATTGATCCCAGAGGGAAATTAGGTTAAAAACTAAATGTGAAAAAGAAGGATTTAAAATGATATGTCTCCATTTAAGTTCAAAGATATTGAGAAAATTCATACTGAGACTGTTTCTGCATGTTTTTTATTAGGAAACTACTATTATATGACCCACTGGAACGAAGTGATTAATCGCACTGCGACGCTGACTGTGGAGAATGCAACTTTGGCCAACCAAGGCATCTACAGYGCCAGCTATTTTGGGGACAGCCCCCTTAACGGAGCCTGGATGAGGCTTATTGTTAGAGGTTTGTGAAACTAATACATTTAATCAAAAATTACATTTATGTCACTATTTTTTCTATAATACAGATATGATGCAACTCGGATACAAATGCATCAACCATACAGTCATCATTTGCCTGACGGCGGGTTGTGTGATTAATGTGACCTAAAACAATATCAAACATAATATTTAAAAGTAGCTAAAGAAAACACAGTAAAGAGACATAATCACATACTTTCATTACTTTGTGTTGCCTCCGTGCACAGAACCAAACACAGTTAAATACTTCCAGAAACTGTTGATCATTTCTGTTCAGCAGCTTGGATTCATTTTTACTCATTACTCCCTATGGGACATATTCAACAATGAGATGTTTGTGGGTTCTCTTGCATAAACTGTTTGCTTTAGGATCTTGCAAAAAATGTTTTTATTGGATTAGAAGTTTTTCTTGTTAATTTAGGAAAAACATCCACTTCATTTCTCAGAACCACGTGTGTGCTGGAATTCACAGCCTCGGTCTGCGGCACATGTTCCCCCATTGTTCCATTAATGATGGGGAGCTGTTTCTGCCCCACAAAACACGCTCAGAATATGACTAACACCACAGATGGAATGATCTTTGTATGCAAAAAAGAAAGTGATTTTCCTTTACCCCCCTTTTTTTCAACAAGAATTTTTCTTCTTTGCTCTTATTTTCCACAAAACATTTCCAGTTTGACTCTTATTTTTAGTGAACTGCACATCAGAGTTCATTTGGGGAAAAAAACTATTGAATTCCAATGACAAACCTGGCTTCTGTATCAACRTTCATGTTTTCCTGATGGTGGAGTTACAGGTCGACTACAGGAAACCATCTTCTTTTTTTTCTCTCTATATTTCTACACAATCTGGCAGGAAGAGCTGGAAGAATATAAATAAAAGACTCAAACTGAATTTAAAAGCTGATAAGGAGCCAAAGCTTAATTTTCAAGTTCATCAAAAATCTATTTTCTGTGTTTATTCAAATACTATAACTTCCACAAATTTGTTCTGAAGTGAAGACTTTGGTAAAATCTGATTTTTTACATAAAAACAGCTGAACTCACACCTTGCCAGCTTCTCCTCGAACGCGTTTAACTGCAAACTCATTAACGTTGACAATTTACCTCAAGCAATTACTTTTTAAGGACTTTGTCTGATTATTTCAATTGGACTTTTTTAGTATTTTCATAAAACCTTGTGATGGTTTAAGGTCACATGTGACCTGTCACATCAAACTGAAAATTAAGTCAAATTCAGTCAAAATTACCTAATCACATTTCCAGATTCTTGGCTTTAAAAGATACATTTTGACCCTGAGATATGACTTCATTTGTCTCGTTATTAAAGATAAAACATTAATATTTGGTCTGAATCCTAATTTTGTGCAATTTTATTGAGACATTTTTTGTGTTATTACAAAGAGGAAACCTCAAATAGTATTTGGATATTGAGATTTCCCAGCTTGAAAAAAGAAAAAAACTTTGCTATCTCGCAGGGAAAAGATCAAAATTTTAAGGCATTTTAAAAAGAAAAAAATTGTATAGGTCCTCTGGACGGGTTCTTCTCTAATGAAATGTTTAGTCTCTTCTCCGAGAGACTTCTTCTTAGAAATCACACACACGACAGGCCCTGGAGCAGTGTGATTATCCTGACTGGGCTTTCCTGAAAGCAGACAGGAAACACAGACAG